TTTTTGGTGTTTTTTGTTTTTTTTTTTTTGGAGAGGTTTTCGCTATAGGGTGCGTGCGCTCTCCAGACAGACCAGACAGAGAGAGACATAGAGACAGAAAGTGAGAAATCATCCCCTGGGGGGATGGTCACACCGCAATCCCTTCTCCTCCATTCTCCTCTCGGGATCTTGGGCACGCACACACATGCGCCCAGCGTGAGTTTAAGTCACTGGGTCCAGGATGCGAACCACGGTCGACTACGTGGGAGTCCAGCGACATAGCCATTATGCTAACTGCTGGTTCCCCCGGATAGTATTTTCTATATACAGTAAGAAAGAGCAAAGCTGTGGGCCACCCGGTGGCATAGTGGCTAAGGCAGCTGAATCCCACAGAGCTAACTGCAATTCAAGTCCTGGAGCAAACATGCGGAGTGTGCTCGTGTGCCAGGACTGTGAGAGGGGCCAGGAGAGAATGGACTGCGGCAGTCATCCCACCTGCTGGGGGCGGTGAGTGCTCTCTCACTTTCTGTCTTCCCCTCTGGTGAGCATAAGTACCCTATAGCAAATTTTTTCTTAGAGAATTATTTTATTTATTTATTTACTTATTTTAATTTGACCATAGAGGGACAGAGCGAGAGAGAGAAAGTGAGAAAGCAAGCTGCCAGGTCTGGGGCTCAAATCGCGGTTGGCCATGTGGGAGTCTAGCACCCTTAAACACCACGCCACCTGCCAGCCCACCCTATAGAAAATTTCAAAAATAAATAAAAGCAAAACTGTGGGACCAGCAGGTGGCGTGGTGGTTATGGTGCTGGATTCCCACATGGCTGAGTTTGCATCCTAGACCTGGAGGCTTGAAAATCACAACAAACAGATAAATAAATAAATAAATAAATGTTAAAAAAGAAAAAAAGGCAAAGTTGTTATCAAATTTAATTTTGTTGGGGCCAGCAGGTGGCATGGTTAAGGTGGCTGAACTCCCACATGGCGAGCCCGGGACCTGGCAGTTTGTTTTCTCACTTTGTTCTCTCTCTGATCAACTCAAAAATAAATAAATAATCAATCACAATGAATAAAATTAAATAATTCTTAAAAAGAAGAAATATATATATAACTCTGTTAATGTATAAGTATACAATTTACTAAAAGTCCTCAAATACTTTAAAAAGTGATTTCAAAGATTCACTGATAGGTCAAGATCTATAGTATGAAAGATGCCAAATTAGACCACGAGCTCCGTGGGGGCAGTGAGCTGGCTTTGTCCACTTAAATATGTCCAATACCTGCCACGCAGTAGGTGCTGAGCGCATGGGGCAGAGGAGGGACTAATACAGAGTGGACAAAGGTGCTGATCTAGACAGATAACACACAGTAGGTGCTACTTGTGAAAAACCAGGAGCCACTTCCAGTGAACCCTTAACTAAGAGCTGTTTCCACCACACTGTACAATCCCACCCAGCATCCCCTCCACAACCTCACACCTGGCTTGGCCCTCTGACCAGCCGAGCCCTGTGAACCAGCCCCCAGGTCCGGCCCCTGCGCTGGTATTCTGGAACCTGCCCGCTAACTCAGCAGCAGAAAACCCCAGCGTCTGCTGCACTGAAGGGACGGTCCCGCCTGAACCCTCACACCCATGGCTGACTTTCCTCTGGGGTTTCCCGTGTGCTCGCAGGCACCTGGGCACCCTCAGAATATGCTCCCCTACATCATCTCCCCAACCCTCCATGGCAGGTTACTCACAGAAGCAGAAAGAGGCACGGAGGAGCCGAGGACCAGGTGGACTAGCCTAGGAGCGGAGGGGCCAGGATGGGCCCACAGCCGTGACCAGAGCCTGCTCCAGCCACAGGTCTGTCTCACCCACCCCATGGCTCCTTGTCTGCCTCCCTGAGCCTGTGTCAGGGAGCCGTGCTGACCTCCCACTCCTCCACTACCCCGTGAGACTGTGGACTTCTCTGAGCCTCTTCACACATAAATGTGGATAAAAACTACTTCACACCATACACACGAAGCACACAGCACGAGGCCCAGTAACTAACAGCTCCCTACCATGAGCTCCCAGTCCTGGAGACCTGCCCCAGTGTCCCCGCCACCCCCAAAGGCCTCCTCTCCCTGCCATTTCCCACCTGGTGATCTGACAAGGCAGCTTCTTAACCCGGTTGAGCAGGGTGTCTGCTGTCCCCCGGTGCAGGGGCTCTGGGCGGAGCAGGGCCACGCCCCGGCGGGAAGGGCCCCCTCGGGACTCCTTCCTGAGGAAGGGAAAGACGCAGGGGAGGATGGGGTCAGGAGCAGCAAGCTGGATGGCTGAGGTCCGGAGGACGGTGGGGGTCTAGGAATGAGGAGATGGTGCTAGAAGGCAGGCCCTGAGACCTGGGAGGGGACGGGGCAGGGGGACAGGGCATGGCAGGGATTATGGGGTTGGGGCTGAGGGGAGGCACAGAGCACAAGAACTGGACCTCACCGGCTGCTGGGTTCTTCCCAGTGGAAGTCGACTGGCCAGCTGCGGAAGTCGAAGTTGTAGTGGGAGAGCTGTCTCTGGAGTGGGCAGGGAGAGGGGAGGGGTGAAAGAGGGGTTGAGACCTGAGGGGAGGCCCTCCTACCCACCCTCAACACTGCTGTCCTCAGGGGCCTGGCCCCCACACAGCATGGGGGGACAGGAAGTCAACACCTGCCCGGTTCGCGGTTGGAAAGCTTAAAGACGACGAGAAAAGTCGGACAAGACGGTGCCCCATCAGGCATCAGGTCTGTCTGCCCTCTTCGAGATGCGGAGCCCAAGACCTTTTCCAAAACGCTGAGACTAACTCGCCCTCAGGGAAGGTGGCTGGGGAGCTGCTGGTGCCGCTGCACAAGGGGTGGGGATCTGCAGCGGCTTACACTCCCTTCCCCAGCTACAGCCTTCACGTGGCCCTGTTGTGGCCCTGTCTCGGAGGCTCAGAAACCCCCTGCTGATCGAACTGATGGGCTTGGAGCCACCAGCCTTGAGTGAGAGAGAGGAGGGAAGTCGCACCTACAGTGGGCTCCTCTGCACCTGGGTCACCTCTTGAACAAAGCCTTCTCACTGTTCCCTCTTCACAGCCCTCTCCCTTCCTCAGCGCCTGCGGCCCTGGGCCAGCACTGCCAGCAGAGCATCTGCGCCTCCGTCACCCTGCTGAGCCCATGCCCAGGTTTTCTGAGGGCAGTGTGAGCCGCCTGTATGCCTTCCCCCACCCAGAGCTCCCAGCACTCTATTTTGAGGGTGGTTTTTTTTTTTTTTTTTAACTTTCTGTAAGAGAAAATTTTTAACATTTTAAAAATAACTTGACTAAAAGAGAGCAATAGGAAAAGTGTACAAAATGTGACAAAAGGGACCAGCAGTTAGCATAATGGCTATGTCGCTGGACTCCCACATAGTCAACTGCGGTTCGAGTCCCAGACCTGGTGGCTTAAACTCACGCCGGATGCGTGTGCGTGCGTGCCCAAGATCCCAAGAGGAGAATGGAGGAGAAGGGATTGCGGTGTGGCCATCCCCCCTGGGGGGTGATTTCCTGCTTTCTGTCTCTATGTCTGTCTCTGTCTGTCTGGCGAGCGCACGCGCCCTATAGAGAAAACCTCTCCAAAAAAAAAAAAAGAAAAGAAAAAAAAGTGACAAAACAAAACAAAATGAAAAGCACATTTCAGGCAGGCTGTGCTCAGACCTGTGCTCGACCCAGACTTAGCCACTTCCTGCCGCTGTCCCTCTGCATAGCTCAGCTGGTCCCTTCTGCCTCTACTTCCGCAGGTGTACAAATGAGGGCCATGCCACTACCTGAAGCATGGCTGTGGGCATTGCAAAGCGCGTGAGCAAGATGCCTCAGTGGCCTGGTGCACAGCATCATTACACACTCCACTCGGGTGTGGAGGGAGCAGTAACGCGGTGGTAGTGGTCATGGCTGTATCCCAGGAGCCCCCTGGTAACAGGAAAGAGCCCCTTCTCAGAGAGAATCACACTCCAGTACCAGCTGGCCTGGCACAACCCCAAGGACACCGTGCCCTGGATTTTCTCCTTCTTGGCGCCACTCTCTGCTCCCAGGCACAGGAGTAAACACACCTGTCCAGCTTGTTCCATCCCCAAACAAAGCTAACTTGGTGTTCGATGCACATAACAAAAATAAACATTTATCGAACGGAACTTGGGGCCAGGGTGTGGCGTAGCAGTTAAGGTGCTGGACACCCACATGACTGACTGTGGTTTGAGTCTGAGACTCAGTGGCTTGAAACTCACACTGGACACGTGTGGGTGTGCCCAAAATCCCAAGAGGAGGACAGAGAAGAGACTGCAGTGTGGCCATCCCCTCTGGGACGGACTGCTCCCTTTCTGTCTCTGTCACTCTGGTGAGTGCATGGACCCTGTAGCAAAAATCTATCAAAAAAGGACAGAGCTGCTGTGACAGAGAAAGCTCTCTTCTAAGAAACACTGTGGAATATTCTACCGTTAAAACAGTTCTTGCGGATGGAAGGTGGAGGGGAGGATTGTCCTCCACTTGAAGTAGCAGGGAGAAAACTTCCTCGGGTGGACAGTTCACTAAGGAGGTGAGAAGGTACTGATCAGTGTGCAAGCAGACACACCTCCTCCTGACAGCCTGGTGCTCCTGGGAGGGAAAAAGGGGTGGCAGGAGCAGCTGAGGACGTGGCTAGCAGAGTCCCTGTCTGGCACCTTTCCTAGAACCTCTAACCTTGTTCTCTGCAGACTGGTTCCGATGCGATGCTTCTAAGATGGTGATGAACTGCCGGTACTGGGGGTTGGTCCAACGGCCAATGCCTGGGAGAGGGGACAGGAAACAGTGTTAGGAAATAAGGAAGCAGAATGCCTAGGTTGTCTTGTTTGTTTGTTTTTGAGAGAGACAGCTTTGCAGTAGGGTGCTCACAGGAGAGACAGCGAGACAGAAAGTGAGAAATCGCCCCCACAGGCATGGCCAAACTGCAATCCCTTCTCCTCTTGGGATTTTGGGCACATGTACACACGTGCTTGGTGGTGAGTTTCAAGCCCCTGGGTCAGGGACTCAAACTGTGGTTGACTACATGGGAGTCCAGTGCCTTAATCACCATGCCACCTGCCGGTCCTCAGAATGCCTAGGTTTTGAAAAGAGTTGGAGACGGGCTAGTAGAAAGCCCTAGAAGGAGAAGTGAGATTAAAGAACTACGGGCTAGGGTGTGGAGAAACGGGTCTCAGTCAACTCTCCTCCACAACCAGCAAGTGGCTACAGGATTCTTCCCAATTTCTTTAGTTTGCTCCTTTTCAGACTATCGACCTTCTGCTCCTCAGAATGTTCATGCTCCTTGGTCTTAAAGCAGTCACACCGCCTTGCTACCCCTGCTAACATTGGATCCTCTTTGCTGCCACCTTCTCCAATGCCTGCTTTGTGTCCTTGTTCTAATGTATTCACCCTTTGCCATCTGGCTTCATAGACTTGCTCCTGCCCATAACGGCTTCCTCGCTGAATCAAGAACTCCCACCCACCCCGGCCCCCGGCCTCATTCTCTTCAACTGCACTGCTCAGCATTCTTCCTCTACGTTCCTTTTTCCTCTGCGCCCTGGGCCCATCCTTGCCTCCTCCCAGCCTGGCTGCTGCTCTTTCTCCCTCCCTCTCTGACACAGGAGCAGTTCTCAGTACCATTCTCCTTTCCCCACCTGCCCCTTCAGTGATCGCATCTGCTTTTGTTTCACCGAGGCCGACCTCAAACCCTACCTCTCTCCAGTAACCTGGCCGGTATCAGGTGCCAGGCACCACCCGATACGTGGGAGACCGAACAGGAAAGAAGATACACAGCTCCCAGCCCTCAGAGGCTGGGGGAGAGGGAGGCTGGGAACGGACGATAGACAAGTACACAAGGACTTCTCAGAGGGACAAGTGCTACAAAGAAGTGAAAGTGAGAATGGACCAGAACGCTGTGTCCTCAAGGATGGTGCCCCCAAATGACACGGTACTGAGGGGGAGGCAGGCTGCAGAATGACGTGTATGGGATGCTGGCATTTATGCGAAAATGTCAAACGCACAAGCTAATCCCATGTATTGTTTATCAATACAGATCACATTTCATACATTCTAAGATGCATTTTTGGGGGTAATTTTGCTACTCACTAGAGAGACAGAGACAGAGAGGGAGAAAGTGAGAGATCACCCGCTGGGGGAATGGGTACACTGCGATCTCTTCTCCTCCATTCTGCTCTCAGGATTTTGGGGCACGCGCACACATGCCTGAGCATTTTTCAACTCACTGGGTCCAGGACTCAGACCACTCCGTAAGCCACGTGGGATCCAGTGCCGTAACGACCGTACAACAAGCTGGCCCTAAGATGCATATTTTTAACACTCGAACACTCTGAGACTAGTATCATCTTACAACTAATGACAGCAAATTTGATGAAATGAGATACACATTTCATCAAAGTACAACATGGATAAAAATAGACTAGAAAAAACACACAGATGACAATGATTACTTCTGGGGAAACAGGAGCATGGGACTAGAGGATACCAGTGTGAACTCCAACACTACCTGTAATGCTTTACTTAATATTTTATGGACAAAAAGCATTTGAAGCAAATTGTGTAAAACGTAAACATTTTCTTTCTTTCTTTTGATATTTTATTCTCTAGACTTTGCTATAGTTATTATTTTCCTAAATTAAAATCAACTAAAATTGGGGCCAGCAGGTGGCATGGTAGTTAGGGTGCTGGACTCCCATATGGTTGACTGTGTGGTTCGAGTCCCAGGCCTGGCAGCTTGCTTTCTCACTTTCCCTCTCTTTCTCCCTCTCTGGTGAGCAAATTAAAAAATAATAATAACTAATTAATTAATTAATCTTTAAAAAGAAATAACTAAATGGGCCAGCCACTGGCAAGATGGTTAAGACAGCTGGATCCCACACGGCTGACTATGTGGTTCAAGTCCTGGACTCAGAATCTTGGAAAACATGCTGGGCATGTGGGCGTGTGTGTCCAAAATTCTGAGAGGAGAATAGAGAAAGGACTGTGCGGAGGCCATTTCTCCAGGGGGTGCTTTTTCTCTTTCTCTTTCTCCCTCTTGGCAAACACATGTACCCTATAGCAAATTTAATAAATAACACTTTTTTGAGAGGTTTTCGCTATAGGGTGCGTGCGCTCGCCAGAAAGACAGAGACAGAGAGACAGAAAGGGAGAAACCACCCCCCAGGGGGGATGACTACACCACAATCCCTTCTCCTCCATTCTCCCCTTGGGATCTTGGGCACGCACGCACGCACATGCGCCTGGTGTGAGTTTAAGCCACCGGGTCTGGGACTCGAACCGTGGTCGACTACATGGAAGTCCAGCAACATAGCCATTACATCAACCGCTGGTCCCTAAATAAATAAATTTTAAAATTAAGACAAAAACGGAACAGTGGGAGCTACTTTAAATGAAATGGTCAGGAAAGGTCTCTCTGAAGAGGGAAGCCGAGCCCAGCAGTGACCAGGGGCAGAACACCTCAGACAGAAGGTTCTCACCCAAACATTCTCTCATGTGGTTGTTATCATATGTACCCCCAAGAGTCAATCATTTAATTTGCCTCTTAATTTCTTAAATTGCGAAATGTAACATACATATATATACACACATAAAATACAAGTCTCTTCAAAAAGTTTGTGTAAGTGCCTATTATGAAAAAATTACTGATGGATTTCCAAATATTTTTGCCCCAAAATAAGCTTGTACTTTAATTCCATTTTCCACTAACTTTTGAAATTCCCTCATATATTAAGTTTAACAAATATGGGGCCAGCAGGTGGCATGCTGGTTAAGGCACTGGACTTCCACATGGCTGATCACGGTTCGAGTCCTGGACCTGGAGGCAAGCTTTCGCACTTTCCCTCTCTCTGGAAATATTAAAATAATAATAATAAATAAAGTTAAATAAAAATAATTCTTAGAAAAAGATTATTACAAACAACAATGTATGTTGTATTGTTTACATACCTATTGTTTATATATGTGCAGGAGTTTCTCTAATGCAGATATATAATTTTTTTCTCTAATACTTATAAGAATGTTGTTGTTGTAGGGTATGTATTTTTTTGGGGGGTGGGGAGAGGTTTTTTTGCTATAGGGCGCGTGCGCTCGCCAGACAGACAGAGAGAGACAGAGAGACAGAAAGCGAGAAATCACCCCCCAGGGGAGATGGTCACGCCACAATCCCTTCTCCTCCATTCTCCTCTCGGGATCTTGGGCACACACGCACACACGCCCGGTGTGAGTTTAAGCCACCGGGTCCGGGACGCGAACCGCGGTCGACTATGTGGGAGTCCAGCGACATAGCCATTACGCTAACTGCTGGTCCCGGGTATGTGTGTAGCAAACATTCCTATTTTTCTTTTCACATTTATGTCCCAAGCCCTCTAAGGAAAAAGAACATGTCTTCTCTCATTCTCAATGCTCTCCTCCTCAGGCCTCAGCACCAAACCTGCAGAGGAGAATTAATATTTACCCAGTGATGGATAAACCCAAACCAGTCTCCTGCTCCACCTACCTCGGAGGCAGGCTACACCTGCCAGCAGAAGCAGCAATGTCCCCGCATAATGAGAAAACGGCACCACTTTGGACAAGCTCAAGTAACCTGGCAGGGGAGAAGGATGACGTCAGAAGCTTTCTGATGTGCCCCTCAGTTCCTCTCCCGGTTTAGCCCCAATCTCCCCCCCACGCCCCCTCTCTGGGACAGCCACACCTTCAGAGGAAAAAGAGCTTGATGGAAGAGGGAAGCCAGGCCATCCTTACAGACTCCCTGTCCTCTTTAGGGGGCTGGCTCATCGGTCAACGAGCTACCCACGTCCGGCCCCAGCACCACTGAAAACACACTGACCTTTCCTGTACAAGTAGAAGAAGGCGAAGGGAGAGGAGTAATAGGAGATGGACCAGAAGACTGAAGCCTGCAGCAGAGAGACAGAGACCGGCAATCAATACATACGCGCACACACGCCTGCACGCACTCTGGCCTGCTGTTCCCAGCCGAGGTCCTGAGCAAGGTGGGCAGCCTGAGGGGTAGCATATCAGAACGTGCCTGTTCTGTGCACATCGCACACAGTAGGTACTCGATATTGGGCAAGAGGTAGTTTGTCAGAGCATAACAGAGGTCCAGGTTCTATTTTCTTCCTCTGATCATCTCCAAATATAATTCCATTTCATTGAAAGGCTAGTCTGTCTTTTCACTTGGCCTTGCTCAGGACTGCCCTGGCCTGGTCCCCAAGGGATGTGCAAATGTCACCACAGGAACGCTGCCAGAGAGAACAGCTGTCTCTGCAGTCACAGAGGTTAGTTGCCAGGGAGGACAGGGCACTGGGGACTGCAGGACTTAGCACCTGCAGAAGGTCCCGAGAGTAAACATGTTTTCCTCACGGCTCGGGCTGCCATGACACAGTTAGCTACGTACCCACGGGGAGTGCCAAGTGTGGGTGTTGAGGGCACCCCGTGTGTATGTGCGGGAGAGGTCTGCTGCAGCACCCAGAGCATCCCCACCCCCCGGGTGCTGCCTTGTCCCAGGGGAGGGGCATGTTCAGGAGAGCAGCTGGGTCTGAAGAGATGCAGTGGGTCCCAGATGCCAGGGCGGCCGTACCAGTGCCAGGATGCTGTCAGCATGTTTCTCCAGAGCTCGGGGCTGATAGTATGAATCCTGCCAAAACAGATGGTCTTGTTAAGGACCCTGCCCGGTGACAGGCCCTCCTCCTTCCGTTTCAGAAGCCCTGATGTGTGTCCCCTGGTCCGGCCTCCTGGGCTAGCTCTCTTAGGACATCCCCGGCACCCAGGGGAGCCCTGCTTGCCCTCCCCTGCCCATGACAACACACACAGGGAGATGGAAGCAAAAGTGAAAGCAGCATTGGTGGACTTTTGCTCCTT